GGGGCATTGGGGGGGGGGGGGAGGGGGAAAGGAAAGCTGGAATGGGAGGTCCGGATTAAGTGGGGAGGGGCAGCGGCCAGAATGACGCATTGATCTTTCATTATGGACTTTGACAACTTACTTAAACACCTCTATTATCGAGCTGATATTTCTATTTTAGAGTCTGTTATTTGGTCAATTAAGTTGATTTGGTCTCTATTAGAATCTATTTATCTGAAATTATGACCCTGTGTTATCATTATCCAGTTATTCCGTCGAGTCACTCGTATTTCTACTTATCTACATCCCTAAACTACTATATCAGATCAAACTTACTCAATTCAGACCATTGAAGTGACTAGAAATGTCTATGAACACCATTGTCCAATGTATGATCCTATTAATCTCCATAGAAGCGGAGAAGCCGGATGCGATGACGTTACAAAGTGATGCGATCATCCCTGGCGTTTCACTGTCTAAAGTGAGTTTCAGGCTGATAGCCTGAGTTTTCGGACATTTTTCTCCATTCCATCCCGCCCCCTAGTCCACTATGTAATGTCTTTTCCTTTTCCATCTCAATCGGATCTCGAGATTCGGATGATGCTTATGTAATGGATTGGTGCCTGAATGGCCGGGCAGTAAATAATTTATCTAACCTGTCGCCAACTCCAATCTCTTAAATCCCAAGGAAAAAACAACAACAACATAAAAAGTCTCCCACCATGGTGTTAGTAGGCTACTCTGACTCCGAAGGCTCAGACGCCGAGCTAGACACTACACCCGCACCCCAGATTAGCAAGGCAAAGAAGTTAGGCTCCAAAACTGGGTTCCAGATCGACCCCAGCAACCCAAGCAAGATCCGCGTCGCGATTCCAGAAATCAGACCTGAAACCCCATCCGGCGAAGACACAGAAGATGGTCCGCGCAAAAAGGCTCGGTTAGGAGGAGGAGGCCTTTCGGGATTCAACGCTTTCCTTCCAGCCCCGAAACGAACAGCGGAAAAGAAAGCACCAGTGGCAACAACACGAAAAGTCTTCAGTCTCAAAACAGGGGCAGGTCCTGGATTCAATCGCACAGCTGATACGGAGATGAAGAATGATCACGCATTCGAAAAACTAGCGGGCGGAGATGCGGAGGACACCACATCTGCACCCGGCTTAAAAACCGACACTCCATCAGATGCATCGGCGGAGACAATGAAAACCCCAGCGGAGGTCAAATTGCAAGGAAACCCGATGATGTTCAGACCGTTGTCGGTCGGACGACCTCAAAAGAAGAGAAAGACCACAAAGAATCCCGAGCAACCAACACCTTCCTCATCCGCAGCGCCGAAACCTGCTCAGCCTCTACACCAAGCCCCTGCCCCTGCTCCTGCACCCGCACCACCAAAACCCAAAGTCAGTCTCTTTTCTCTACCCTCGGACGAGGCCACTTCTCAGTCAGCCCCGGCGCCTGGGTTATCAGCGACTTACCAGCCGCTGGTATACAACGCCGAAGGCGAAGAAGTATCAGCAGCTGATCCAGTACTCGCTGAGCCTGCACCAATCTCCATAGAGCATTCAAAAGCAACAGTATCAACCAATCCCGCATCATCCTTGGACAGCGTGGCCAATGATCTGAACTTGTCCAAGGCCGAAAGACGCCAGCTCTTTGGTCGGAATGCCATGCCGTCGCAGTCGCAGGTGCGTACTTTCAACACAGACGAAGAGTACGCGTCAAACCAAGTTCTGGCGCAAAGCGAGCTGGCCGGAACACAGCACAACCCTGTGCGCTCCATTGCGCCGGGCAAGCATACTCTCCAGCAATTACTCAATGTTGCAAGCTCACAGAAGGAAGCACTGGAAGAAAGCTTTGCAACGGGTCGGAGAAACAAGAAGGAGGCTGGATCCAAGTACGGGTGGTAGTTTAGCATACATAAGGCCATTCTGGGGAGTTTTGTCAAGCGCATTAGCATTAAGATACCATACCATTTTGTAGGACATGACATACGGGAATTTGAATAAACAGCTAAAAGAATGTACATTTAACTGATATGTATCTCTAAGATCCTATACATAAATAATCATCCCAACGCCGTGAAATGTAACAAAATAACTCCATATAGACTATTCCAACTCCTTTTATCTTTCGGGGTATCAAGACGACACATCCACAACTTCGGCGAACCACTGCTTGAGTGCAGTAGCCAAAACAGAGGGTAATTCGCTCACATCACGAACGACAAGATAGTAAGGGAAGGGGAAGTCCTCGAGGTATCGCTTCATCTTGAGCTTCATCTCACCACCAGACTCAGGATCGGCCTCGAAGCTAGCCTGCGAGAGGTCAAGGATGGAGCTACCCTTGACAGCATCGACAATAATAAAGACAACCATGATGCGCTCCTCAAGCGCCTGTCTAACCAGACGACGAATAGTATCATGATCTTCACAGATACCATCAGAGATAATCAACTGAAGCTGCCAGAGGTCGGCAGAGCCAGAGCCAGGCGAGCGCTTCCAGCGAGCCTCGCGGAAGAGAGCGATAGAGTCGGCGATCAGCTTGCGCACATTCGTACCAGTTTGCTGGTAGCTGAAGTGCTGGAAGACCTGAGAGCCTGCCTCAGAGGAGAAGGGCTTTCCGAATTCGTGGGCGACACGCACATGGTCTTCATTACCGAAGCCAAGGACGCACAGGTCGCCAGCTTCCAGCATGCTCAGACTCTTGGCAACGAGCGCGAGGGTCTCGAACGCTAGCTGACCACTGCCGCTTTCCAGCATGGACTTGCTGTCGTCGACGGCCAGCATGATCTGGTAGTTGCGCTTTGAGGGGATAGAGCGACGCATCCAGATCTTGTCGCGCTTGTACTGGGATGCGATGTAGGGGATGATACGTTTGATATTTAGCCGCTTTCCGGTGCGGAAGTCACCGCGGAGTTTGGTGGCCATTGTGGGGGCGAGGATGAGACGGAGTTGTTCGGTCAGGGAGAGGGAGAGATCATTTGTGGCGGACTCATAGTGCGACCAGAGCCGGCGGGCTTCGTCTTGTGGGGTCAACGGGGGGAGCGAAGAAGATAAGTGGATCGCTGCGAGTTGTGAGTCGACTTCGTCGAGTTCCTCGTCCACTTCTTCGGTGCCCCGTGCTCCGTCTGCGCGATCGTGGGACGATTGACCGCCAGGAATGAAGGCGCCGACGGACTCGCCCTCGGTGGGAACGGTCTCACGGTCGATTTGCATCTCATCCTCAAGCTGGTTGTCCACGGCCTCTTGCTGCTCGTCCGTCACGTCTGGGAGAACATCGTTCTCACCAGGCTTGATGTCAGATTCCACGCCCTTGCTTTGGTCGAGGGCTTGGGTTTGGTCGTCGTTTGCTTGTCCAAGGGCCTGGGTGTCTGCGGCATCGTCGTCATTCTTTAGGTGCTCGAAGTCCGCGTCGGCCATATCGGTGTCTTGGGGCATAGGCTGGGATTCCTCTTCCTCTTGGGACGGATTTAGGATCTCCTTTTGTCGTCGATGCCATTGCTCAAGGATATCACCGAGCTTCTTGAATGCCTGCATCTGAGGTTCATCTGGCCCGTGATCTTCGCCACCAGCAGCATCTCGGCTGGGCTGGCTCTCCTCGCTATCCTTGGCAGCACCTGTCTGTGGGTCGACATTGGCACTGGGATCAGTCGAGCCGTTCTCCTGCTGAGCGTCACCTGAGGCACCCTTTTCTTCATTTTGGTCTTGCTCGGCCCCGAGCCCGCCAGTGACAGCTTCACTAGGAGCGACGTTGTCACCTGCGGCATCGTTCTCATCGCGCTGTGCGAGGAAGTCGTCTTGCTCAGGCTCCTCAGGATCTTCTTTACCAGCTTCCTCTTGCTCCTCTTCTCCAGCTTCGCCTTCATTGGTATCCTCCGCATCATCGGCCATTTCTTCATCTTCTTCACCTGGCACTTGATCCTCTGGAGCTGCCTCAGCATCTTCTTCGCCGCCATGATCATCGGCGTCTTCGACCTTCCCTTCTTCCTCGGGGGCAGGGCCGAAATCATCGTCAAGATCATCCATATCATCGTCGTCCTCACCATTGTCATCCTTGCCTTCACCATCATCAAGTTGCATTTCCTCAGGAAGTTCAAGTGTTTCTTCTTCCTTCGCTTGAGGGTCGGTGACGTCCATTTCCTCGCGGCCAACTGCCTCGCCTTCGTCTTCAGGGGCTTCTTCATCTTCTGTTTCTTCTTCATCTTCCTCTCCTTCCTTTTGCTTTTCTTCACCCTTTTCACCATCCTTGTCACCCTTCTCTTCCTGAGCAGCAGCTTGTTGCTCGGCCTCTGATTGGCCCTTTCCTTCTTCGTTTTCGGTATCCTTCTGCTGCTCATCGTTACCGCCATCCCAGAGCTTTTCGTCCACAGCACCTGGGTCAAGGTCATCGACGCTTCCCGTCTCTTCGTCGATATCGTCATCTCCTTCGTCGGCACTGTCGTCATTCTCCTCGTCGTCATCTTTGCGATCCTCGGCATCACCTTCCAAGTCTTCCTGGTCCATGTTGACAGCATCCTTGGAATCATCCATTTCATCCTCACCGTCCTCTTTCTTGTTCTCTTGTTGCGCCAATTCAGACAGATCTTCGTCATCTCCGACATCTTTACTAATATCTTCCGCACCTTCGCCCTCCCCGAGACCTGTTCCACTTTCCATCTGGCCCTCCTTGCCTTGATCTTGCGATGCTTCGGCAGGACTGCAGAAGCCTTCGGAGGCGACTTGCTTGAAGGTCTTGGTCAGAATGTAGGAAGTCTTACAGATCTCGCGATGAACGGCGATAAACCGATCAGCCAGATCCCGGCAGATTTGGTAGTATTTGTTGGCGATGGGCAAGATACTGGTGATCAGTGCGGCAGCAACCGAGAGGCCGCCGGCGGAGTGGTCTTGCAGGCAATGCAATTGATCAAGAACTTTCTCCAATGCGGTGGTGATCTCGGTGAGATGGACAGCCTTGATACAGCGAGAGAAGAACTCATCACTCCTCGACAGCAATCCATCAAAGGTGATGGCAGAAGGCACATCCTTGAGCTTCTGGAGGCCGATCAGCATTTTGTCAACGGCCGTCAGGAGGCTGCTATCAAAGGCTTGAAGGGATAGGCTGTTCACATCATTGACCTCAGGGAGAACAGCGATGCTTGTCTTGACCCAAGGTGTGATCTGATCAAGCGCGAAGGACAGATCAGGGCGAGCTTGGCTCCATTGCTGCAAGTCAACAGCCAATTCATCGAGCGATGATCGTGTCCGCTGCGCGATCTCGTGGTCTGCGTTAGATGCAATCCTGGTGGGAAGCATGGGAAGGGCTCCGTGCGACTTGCGCAGGCTATCGAATGATGCCTTCTTGGCGCGGAGCTGTTCAACAATCTTAGACGCATCAATTCCTGAGAACTTGGAATGCACTCCAATGATCATTGCGGCCAGTCCAAGAATAGGAGCTAGCCAAGCCACGATTCTGGCCAGATTGGCTCGCTCTTGTGATGCAGAAGCATGGTCTTGCGACAGAGAGTTCGAAGCCGCTGTCCAAAGGTTCTGCACCTTGTCAAGCGTAGACTTCAACTTGCCCAAGCCTGTAAGCGCAGGCGAAATGACGCCTCTTTGACGACGGACAATGAAAATGAGATGCTCAATAGACCCCATGCTTCTGTGGACCTCGACATTGCTTAGCTCCTCAGAATAGTTGCGAGAAGCTAGGCGGGTCTTAGGTAGGAGATCCAGAAGTCTGTGGAAGTACCAGTCCGCACTCTGAACTGCAGTCGAGGTTGCAGCCCCAGCCTCAAAGGCGGCACTAGTGGCGAGAACCTGCGGAACTGTTTCTTGAGTTTCAATCACACTCGATCCAGCATTACGTTTCACACCCATCTCATATAGTTGCTTGAGGGTCTCGGCATAGAGACGACGTTTCTGGGACTTGAGGTGCTGGACGTCGTCCTTGTTGTCTTCGTTTAGGACCTTGGGTGTCTTAGACTTGAACTCATTCATGCTTTCAATGACCGAGACGATGAAGCTGTCGAGGTCCTTCGCGATGTCGAACTCGGCTGGAATTGACGAATACAAATTCATCATATTGTTGGCTGTTCCTTCCGGCTTCTGGAATCTGAGCGCTCGTGTGGACCAGATATTCTTGTCATTTTGGCAAATTGCCATTGCCTCAGGGAACACGGCAGTGGGGCGGACTGGCTCTGCTTGGGACATGGAAGTGATCTCCTCGGTGCTTTCCGGAAGGCCTGCTTCAAGGATTGATTGAACCGGCTGGCCAAGGGCTGCACGGTACTTTCGAACCAGCTTGAATAGCTTGACATGCGACCTTCTAGCGCTTTCCTTCAGAGCCACAATGTTGACGTCTTTCCAGCTTGCAAGCTGAATCTGCTCCTTGATATCCTTCTCAAGAACGGACCTCTTCTCCGTCAGATATTTGTCCACTCCAGGCTGGAAGGGTCCGTAGTGGTGGAGGAAGTTGTCCAAGGCAGAGACAAGCTTTTTGAGGCAGGGATAATCCGTGGTGAAAACTTCAAGCAGTGCTTGGAAGTTGGCAACAAGCTGCAGACGGCGGGCAAACTGGCCCGTAGTTGTAGACTTGAAGAATTGCTCCAGGGTCAAAACTAAGTTTTGGGTGTGTTCGGTCATGTCCTGCTCGCCTGCCTCGGCCATCATGATGGGAGCGCCGATAAGTGCTTCATAGGCGATAAACCACCAAGCACTCACCTCGTCCTCGCATCGCTCTTTCTCGATATCCAAGAGCTTGGCCCAAGTCGACAGCTCAAGACGGCGCCAGCTAATGAGAGTACTTGTAATCTCATCGTAGACAGTAACAGCTGAATATTCTCTGCTGGCCACGGTCTGCCACTCGTGTACAAATGAATGAAGCTTTTCAACCTTGGTCATGAACTTAGCAACAGGCTCAGTATGTTTGA